CCGCCCGCCTCGGCTTCTGGATGACGTCCGCGGGTGGCCGCGAGGGTGCGCTGCTGGCGTCCGCGTACCTCCACGCCAGTCAGGACCTCAACGACCTCAACCTGGACATGCTGACCAACTTGGGCTCGGTGGTGCGGGCCATGCGACGGCCCTTCGTCGTGGGGGCTGACAGGAACATAACGCTCACCGTGCTGGAGGAGGCGCAGCTGCTGCCGCCCACTGGGGCGAAACTGGCATGCTCCAGCCACGCCACCTGCGTCGCGGTCACTTCAGCGCGGGAGATGGACTTCTTCTGCGTCGACCAGCTCGCAGAGGTCCAGGCCGTGCGACGGTGCGACCGCTGCGCGGTCCGCACCCACAGGGCGGCGGCGCTCCGCTTGGCCATGCCCCCCCCTGGCGCCACGGTCCCCCGCCTGCGCCGCCCGAAACCCTTCCCTGCCAAGAGGCTGATCGGGCCGCAGCTGCCCCCTCCAGGATGGCAGGACGTGATTGCTGACCTGCGGACGGCCACGGCGGCGGCTGGCTCGGATGCAGCCTGCGGGCGCGACCTGGACCGATACGAGGATGAGCTGGCCCAGCACTTCGGCTTGGCAGAGGGCCGCGAGGCGGGCCGCTACCGCGGCAGAAGCGAAGGAGCGCGCCTGGACAGGGTGCAGCTCCACCGCCAGCGGCAGCAATGGTCACCCGCGGCGAAGGCGGCCCCCGCTGAGCAGCACTGGAGTCGGCTTGCCCAGCGTGTGCGCGAGCGGCGGGTCCTCCGACAGACAGGCAGCCACCGGCACGCCAGGCGCATCCAGGTGAAGCTGCTCCGCTTCGTGCCACCCGTGGCAGGCGCGGACCCGACGCCCTGGCAGTCGCGGCGTCGCCTGGTCCGCAGGCTGGACTTCCTGGAGCAGCCCGGAGTGGGCGCGCTCCAGGAGGACCTCCAGCGGGCGACGGGCGCCGCTGAGGGCCGCTCGGCACACTGCCGCTACAAGGCCTGGCTGGACAGGTCTCGCGAGGCCACCGTCGGAGACGGCATGCGGAAGGGCTTCCGCTGGATCCGTGAGACGGCGCCATGGGCGGCAGGCCGCTGGCAGCCTTCCGCGGGCATCCAGTCGGCGCAGCTGGTGGCAGAGGCGGCGGCGCGCCCGCGGCGCGCGCTGCGGGGCGAAGGTGGAGGGCGTGCTGCGGTCACCTGGCCCCTGGACTTGGGCGACCTCCCTCGACTGCCATCGTCGAGGAGCTGCGCCAGGTCGGGCACTCCTTGGGCTGCGACGCTTTCCACCCGCGGCGCGTGGCCGTGCTATGCGACGAGGGGCTCGAGGCCTGCATCGATTTCTGGCGTCGCATGCTGGGGCTGGGGCACGTGCCGAAGGCCCTGGTGGCGATGCGGATGGTCCTGACCAAGCCCGAGGGCGGGGTTCGCACCATCGGGCTGGTTCCAGGAGCCCCACGGCCCCTCACTCGGTAGACGAGGAACACCGCTGGCTCCAGCTGGGCCTCGCCCCACCGTCGGGGCTACATCTACGGCGCGGCAGGTCTGAGCTGCGAGACCTGCGCGCGGACCCAGGCCGCCACGGCGGAGGTGGCGACCCACCGCGGCCAGGCAGCCTGCGCCGTGCTCATGGACCTGTCGAAGGCCTGCGAGCACATTCCCTGGGCGTTGCTGGCCAAGCGGGCTGAGGCGTTCGGCTTCAACCTACACCTGCTGCGCTTCCTGCTCCAGATGTACTCGATGCCGCAAGTCGTCTGCTACCAAGGGGTGGCCGCCGAAGCTTGCGCGCCCCGGCGCGGCGTCGTGGCAGGGCGCAGCTTCGCGGACCTGTGCATGCGCATGTTCTTGCTGCCGAGGCTGGACGCGATCGCGGAGCTGGGCACGGCGCAGGTCGGCAACGTCGTCGACGACATCCAGCTGGCCCAGAACGGCGACAAGGGCGCGGTTCTGGCCAACTCGGCCGAGCGCAGCCGCGAGGTCCAGAGGCGCTGCGCGGCGCTCCGAGGCAGGGGCCGCAGGTCTGCGAGGAACCTGGGCGTGGACTACGGCTGCGGGCGGCGGCCTGGCGCGGCCGCGCGGAGCACGCGCGTGGCCACCGTGATCAGGCGCTCGGCCCGCATCCGCGTGCTGCGCGCCGCTAGAAGCAACGCGCAACAACTCGTCTCTCTCGGTCTCACGCCCGCTGGTACCTGGGGGGGCGGGGTGACGGGGAGGGCGTGGAGTGGGATCGAGCCGATGCGCCGAGCTGCGCATGCCGCCCTATTCGTTCGGACTGCTCGTCGCTCCCTCACCCTTGACCTCCACCTCGCTCCCTCGGCGCCGAGGTCGGTCGACCCTGCGTACGCTTGCACTGTGAGCCCGATGCACTTGCTCGCCCAGGCTGTCTGGGAGTCATGGCTGCCTCGGGAATGGATTGCCAGAGTTTTGTTTGCCTCCGAGGCCACCCTGGCTCGGTCCACCGGTGTACAAAGTGAGTGGGCCCATGTGCGCGGCCCGATTTCTGCGGCCCTGGCTAGCTGTAGCCGCATCGGCTGGAAGCTGGGCCCAGGGGTTTGCACGTTAGGGACCAGCGAGGGCTTCAAGGTTGATCTCACCGCGTCTTGCCCGAGATCTGTCTTGCACCTCGCGCGTTTGAGCACCGAGGACTGGCTGCTGGATCGAGCCCAGCAGAGTTCCGAGTACATGTCTGGTCTCCCCGCCCGCCCATGCCTGGCCCCCCTTCCGCCGCCGATTGGACGGCTCGGCACCAGGCGACTCTGCGTGCGATAGTCTCGAATGTTATTAGGGATCAGGCCCGCAAGTTTCGCCACGGCCTCTCGTGCAGTCGCACGTGCCCGTTGTGTAGCGTCGAATCCTGCCCAGGGACCTTCGAGGCCTGGGTGACAGGCCCGTGCTCAGCGATGTGGGCCTGTGTTCGCGAGTATGACCTTCCCCCCCCCCTGCGGCAGGACCTCGGGGAGCACTCGACCTGGGCCCTCTGGAGGCATGCCCTGGTCCCCGATCCTCGCCCCTCGGTTCCTAGCCCTGCGTCCTCCCTCCTCGCCCAGTGGCTCAAGCGGCCTTGCTCTGGTAGCATCGAAAGTGAAGCCTTCGGTGACGGCTCCTGCACCATGCCTGTACAGGGAGACCCCCGACTCAGTAGAGCGGGCTGGTCGGTAGTCCAGGTAGACGGGCAAGGATGCCTGACTGCCTCCCTGTGCGGCCCGCTCCCAGGGCCACACCAGGCGTCGGAACGCACGTGGCCTCGGGGCCCTGTTGCTTCCACTCGGACTGCGCCTGGGTGGTTTCCAGTTTCGAGCGCGGACGCGCCGAGACTACTGGAACCCAGCGCGAGGCAGCCGACCTCTGGACTCGCATCTGGGATCGAGTGGAGGACCTAGGGGGCGACGTCACAATTGTGAAGGTCAAGGGCAACGCTCGACGCTGTCACGGCAGTGCTGTCGAGCGTGGCCTGATCAAGCGCTGGGGGAACCACTACGCCGACCTCGGCGCTCGGTGCGTCCCTCCACCCCACGGACAGTGTCGCGGTGGAATGGGCCAGGCGTACTTTCCACCTGGTGACTCTCGTCGCCAAGTTTTTGGCTCGGGTGCTGCGCTCAGCGGGCCCCGGCCAACAGGATGCGCCGCGGCACGGCCACCTGCGACGTGCACGGCGCAGGGGGACAGTCCCCACGCTGACGGCAGACGTGGTGCTGCCCGCTGGCACGCACGAGCCTGTGCCGTGCGGCAGGTGATTCCGCTGCTGTTGCTGTTTCCGCGTCGCCAAGACGCAAGATGGCTACACGCCTGCGGCGTGTAGCCCAGGCGGTGGCCACCGCGTGTGGTGCGTGGGCCCTTTCCCTTTCTGCGCGGAGTGCGGAGCCCACTCGAGCGAGAAGGCTTAGCTCCTCGCGCAGCCTTGCCTTGGGGTGGTGCCCCCGCAGACGCGGCCCCGCCTGGGTCGCCTGTGGGAGGGCAAACAACCGCGCACTGGTCTACCCCTGCCCTTGGCCAGCGGCCATGCTAGGCCTCGGTCGTTCGCGGCGGACTTCGTCCTCGACAGCCTGGTCGGAGACCTGGTTGTCGTGGACGAGGTTGCGGACGGTTTGTAGGCCCCTGGCTGCGCCTGCTGGCACTCCCCACTGGGGAGGTGCTCGGGCCCTTTTCCCCTCGGTCGGGCTCGGGCTCACGCCCGGGCCGCCTAGCTGTGCTTGCACGCTTGGCGCCGCGCCTGATGAAAAACTCCTCCTCCTCCTCCTCCTCCTCCTCCTCCCTCCTCTCCTCCTCTCCTCTCCTCCTCCTCCTCCTCCTCCTCCTCCTCCTCCTCCTCCCCCTCCTCCCCCCGCCCTCCCACGATTTCTAGGGGGGGTGGGGGTTCACTCCGCTCGGGACCTCCCGAACGGAAGGACCCCCCCCCTTAGAGATCTTGGGGGGTAGGGGTAATGGATTGCATGTGGCCACCGATCGGAACGACCGACGATCAAGGAACGGGCCCGCGGCCTCAGGGAACGTCGCGCGGGCGAGGGCGAGAGCACCGAGAGGCTGGGGCCTCGGCACCCGCGCGGCGCGACACTGCAGCATCGAGCCAACGCTCAGCTGGAGTGGTGCTCCTCGGCGTGTGGAGGTCCCGCGGTCAGCTGAGCGATGATCAAAAACGGGTCTTACGCGAGATGACATAGCCACCTTGCGCGGCGGCTTACGCGGGCCGCCAGCGCGGCACGCTACGCTGGGAGCGAGGGCGCTTCTGCGCAACCTTGCGCGAGCAGCTTACGCGCCAACGTCGGCGCAAACGACCGTGTTTTTCTGCGTCGCTCAGGTGGCGACATCCGAACCCTACCTGTCCCCACCAACCATGTATTCTACTGAATCGATGGGTGGCAGGGGTTCGAATAGGAGGTTGCCTTCAGAATTGACTGACTCCAGAGTTCATGCTCCGTAGAGTCTACACAAGTACGTAGGATGATCTGTAGATCTACGGAACATGTTGCGTTTCTAGTATTGCTTCAAACAGCTACGTACGTAGTCGATTCTCCTGAATCAATGCTGTAGTCGACTCTCCCGAATCGAAGGGAGGCGGGCGGTAGGCTTCGGACTTCGCCGCGTGCTCGACGAACTCCGAGCCCTACCCCGCCGCCCATCGAGCTGCCCGAATCGCGGATCGGGGAGGGCAGGGCTCGGACCTCGCCGCCGAGGGGGGCACCTCGCGCCCCACGAGCACGGCGCGTGCGCCCTGCACGCGAGGCTCGGCCGCTCCCACCCGCCGCGCCCGGGCGCGACTGCTGGCAGGCACCCCGCGCCCGCCAAGATGCCCAGCGCTCTGCAGCACATGGGCGCCCGCGCCGCGGGCAGGGACCGCGGATGGAGATCCGACGTTACCAACAACAAATTACAGCATCGCGACAAATCACGACGGCAG